ATTAGGAGTTTGCGGTCCTTGGGTGGGCGCTTTTTAAGGAGAACCATCAGCGTCTGGAACACGGAGTTGGAGAAGCGGGGGCCAATCGGCACCCAATCCAAGAGACGCTCGAGATTGTCGATCACGATAATACTGAAGGGCGACTTGTACGAGTCGCTGAACGTCTTGTTGATGGCGGTCATCTTCGCGTTCTCGGAATAACCCACCATGGACTCTGGAGAGATCAGCTTGATGAAGGGGAATTCACTGCCCATGGCGATGGTGGCCGCTAGGGCAGTCTTTCCGCTTCCAGGCGGACCGTGTAGCAGTACACTGACCAAAGGCGTACGCTCACTACGCTTGACTTGCTCGACGAAGAGCTGGCCATCGGACAATATTCTGTCCACGTGTGGGGCGAAGGGAATGATGTGGTTCTGAACGCACTGCTGCAGCTCGGTGTCGGAAATACCGAACGCCGGTCGGACTTCCTCCAGGCCATTGAGGAAGTCATCCCGCATCACCTTCATGTTCTCTACATCGGGGGCAACCCCAGCCAAGGTCCCAACCTTGACATGTCTGTTGAACGCAAACGATGAGGCACTCTTGACCAGACCGGCTATTTCGGCACCGCTGAAGTTCTTGGTCAACTTGGCCAACTCCTCGATGTCCACATCCTCTCCCATGATGTCGTTCTGACGCATCTTGGATGTGTGGATTTTCAGGATCTGGAATCTGCCCTTTTCATCAGGGAGACCGATCTCCATGTGGACCTCCAGACGTCCAGGACGCAGTAAGGCCTCGTCGATCATATCCAGTCGATTAGTCATACCGATGATCAGGATGTTGTTGAGCTGCTCCACACCATCCATCTTGGCAAGGAGCTGGTTGACCACTGAGTCCCCAACTCCGGTCCCGTCGTTCTTTCCACCACGCTGCTTACAGATGGCGTCCAGTTCGTCGAAGATGATGATGTGAAGTGAGCTCTCATCCCCCTTGGCTTTGTACTCCTGCTCGGCCTCCGTGAACAGTTTACGAATGTTCTCTTCCGATTGTCCGACGTACTTGTTCAGGATTTCGGGTCCGTTGACGATCTTGGGCTCTCCGGCGTTCAGCATCTTTCCGATTTGGCGGGCCATCAAGGTCTTACCGGTACCTGGTGGTCCGTACAGCAGAATACCTAAGCGTCTCTGGAGGTTAGCCACTAGTTCTGACCCACGGACCGCTACTCAACCACGGCGTACCTTTGACGTGCTGAATCCCCAGCTTCTCGACAATCGACGGGGGGAAAATGCGCGAGGCGAATGCTCTACGGAAAATCCCGCTAAACTCCGAATCCAAGCCACCAATGCCCATGTCCTCGAATTTGAAGTTGGGCTGGATAATGGCGTTGGCTCTTGAGCTATACGCATACACCATCAATCACCATCCGATCTACATACATTCTCACTTCTAGTACATACCTTCGGGATGTCCCCTTCAGGCGGATCGTGCAATCCTGCGCCTTGGTAAACTGGACCAAAGTCTGTTGCATCAGGATACCTCTGCTCGGGTTACTGGGTGCTAGAGGGAGGAGATCTTAAGGTCAGGCTCAACTGGCCAGGGGAATTCCGTATGCTTCACATACCACCACTCTTCGGTTGGGTCTGTCCGGAGCGTAAGCTCTCGAGCTCGGCCACCTCCAGATCCAACACCTGCACCTGAAGGTTCAACCCGTGGAAGTCGAAAACGAGCTGCTGCCCTCTAGTGAACACTTGGTTTCCGAAGGACTGCGGAATAAAACGTTAGCACTCCTCACTCACGGGAGTTCGCACCCGGGCTTACTGACCTGAGTGAATACGTGGCCCATCTCCTCGGTATCAAATTCTTTGTTGATCTCGAAGCCGCGTCTAAGGAATTTGACCTACGATGAGGGAAACCAGACGTCAGCATCTGCATACGACGAAAACCCCGACAGACGGGTGGCTTACTTCTAGATTGAGGCTGCCCAAATACACATCGACCCCTTCGGAAAGGGGATCGTACGGCTGTATGTAGACCTCCTGGTTCAGAGATAGGGAGGCCCACCGTCTGTGGAACAGGGTGGTCCCGATCTGGCCAGATGGGAAGCTGTTGTCAAAACTAGTTTCAAAAAGTACTGTGCATTAATACGATCGGTCCGGTCCAGCCCGGCGGGGTATGAAGGAAGGCAGAAACTAACTGGATGGTGAACACGAATTGGTCGTTTAGCGAGACGTAGCGGGTGGAGGGGTCGAAATCTTTGGGGCTTACGACGAGCAAGTTCGTCAAAGCCAAAGCGTCGCTTGGACACTTCGCCACCTTGAAGCTACCTCCTTGAGTGGCCTGGGGGGTGGGCGAGCGGTAGGGGCTCGCGGTCCCTGAGAATGGTTTTCTGAACGAATCCATGCCTATCCGGTCAAGTGGTCCTTGGGGAACTGGATGTTTGTTGTGAGAATGGCTAGATACTGGAGACAATATCCACCTTTCCAATTCCAATTCCAATTCCATCACCACCCACCACCCTATGCCCCGGGTACATCCGGTCACGTCATCATCCACAGATTGGCTTGATTCGAAGCCGGATCTCCCTTGATTTTCGGCCTCGCCTGGCCGCCCCACCCAACACTCGATCATCACGAACCGATTCCCCTGGGCCACTGATCCGCCCGATCCATCGATCCACATGGGTTGAATAGGGTGGTTTATTAAGCCAAGTCCAGTATATTTTGGTTGGTTGGGTTTATATGCGGAATCAAGGTTACATGTAATCTGCTAAGTGGTATGGGATTCGCAATCGATGCTATGGTCAATTTCCGCTAGCTCGCTTCATTGGTTGCCAGGGTTGGCAGCGGACGCAGTGTACTCTCTCTTTGGTGGATAGGCCCCTTGAGCTGGTGGGTAGCCACCTCCGTTGTTACTAGGTGGATAGGGTGTGCCCTGTGGTGGCGGATAGCCTGATCCGCTCTGGCCTGGAGGGTACCTTTCTCCCTGTTGAGGTGGGTATCCACCATTACCTCTGGCCGGAGGGTAGCCTTCTCCTGATTTTGGTGGGTAGGTATCGTTATCGCTAGAAGGAAAGATGCCGTCGTCCTTCGGTGGATAGGCACCGCCCTGTTGCGACGCATACTTCGCATAATACTTGGGTGTGGCTCCTGGTTGAGGAGGATATCCTGTGTCACTTTTGGTGGGTGGATAAGGTCCGCTTTGTGGTGGATAGCCAGTGTCACTCTTGGTAGGTGGGTAAGGTCCGCTTTGTGGTGGATAGCCAGTGTCACTCTTGGTAGGTGGGTAAGGTCCGCTTTGTGGTGGGTAGCCAGTGTCACTCTTCGTAGGTGGGTAAGGTCCGCTTTGTGGCGGATAGCCAGTGTCACTCTTGGTGGGTGGATAAGCCCCGCTTTGTGGTGGGTAGCCGGTGTCACTCTTGGTAGGTGGGTAAGGTCCGCTTTGTGGCGGATAGCCAGTGTCACTCTTGGTGGGTGGATAAGCCCCGCTTTGTGGTGGGTAGCCGGCCGGATTTCTTGGTGGTGGGTAACCACCTTCTTGTTGAGGGGGATAGCTGGCCTCATTTCTTACAGGCGGATATGGGTTGTCATTGCGTTTAGGTGGATAAGCACCCCCTTGTGGTAGATATCCGGATGGCTCGGCTCTGCCAGGAGGATATCCACTGCCTTGGACCGGCGAGGAAGCTTTTTGTGGTGGGTAGCCTGAGGAAGCTCCGCTGGGAGATGGAGCTCTTTGAGGGGGATAACCACCTCCTGGTAAAGGTGAGGGCGCACTTTGTGGTGGATAGCCAGACGAGGTACCACTAGGTGATGGAACTCTTTGTGGTGGATAGCTACCATTCCCACTACTAGGATATAGCCCTTGGTTTTGTACAGGTCTAGGTGGATAAGCACCATTATTCGAGTAAGCTGAAGGTTGCTGATATTGGCCAGCTGGAGAGGGCAATTCGTCTTCGGAGTCGGTACCAGATAAGGCATCGAAGTTCTCGACAGCACCTTGGTTCGAGGTGAACGAGGGTGCTTTTCCAACGAGTGCTTCATACACCGGAGCCCAATCCTGTGGGCGAGTAGAGGAAGAGGTGAGAACAAAGCCCATGTTCAACTCCACTTCCCCGCTAATCTGGTCCTTGCTGCTCTTTTGCTGAAGCGGGTACCAGGCGGTTCTCTTTCTGCTGGGGTCGAAAGCGATGGGGACCCCGTCCAAGAAGAATTCCCGAAAGGACAGGGTAAGCTGTCCCATGAAGTCTCGGCCAAGGAAGTCGCTATCCCAGCACACGAGCTGCAAGAACTTGGGTGGCGAGCGCATGTTCACCTTGTACTCGTAGGAGAAGTTCCACACTGGGTTCAGACTTTTAGAGATCACCTTCGAGGACTTCTTCTTGTTCAGTATTTTGATGACCACAAACGGGTCCGAGAGTCCATTACGATCCTTGGGGGTGAGGTTACGGGCCTGGATGACCTCGATTTTGATGGCGGAGATGGAGTGGCTCATACCGGGTGGAGGGCTGGTGGGGGAGGCAGTACGGGGGAGACTTTCACGAGGTGGTGTTGGTAAGTGCGGCGATAATTCTGACAATATATTCTCTTGAAGAGTAAACCAAGAAATTCCGCCGCCGATGAATGGGAGTTTGTGTGGCTTTGAACGAGGGATGATTGAGGAATCACCAACCCAATTACAGGGCATATCGACTGGTACATGAATGAGGGCAAAAATGACCCACCCAATAAATATCGGTCACTTCTAAATTCGGCTGGACTCGATGCCAAGTACATCTCTGTGTCATGGTAAGGTTCTAGATATCAATAAATCCCACACTTGGGTCAATTCCGTATATATTCCGCCATTGAAAACGGCATCGCCGGCCCGCTAAACAAAAGGATAACTCAGACACGCTTAGAGGGCGAATTTGATGTCAAACTGATTCAGGACTGGGGTGGGTTCACTCCATGTTAACATGAAGGGGCCCCAGTTCACTGAACCGACAATTGGAATTTTTCATCACAGTTATCCATTTTTAAGACAGACCAGGAATGGATTCGAACCATCAACCTCTGATTATTGAATCATCGCGTATTCCACTACGCTATCTTGGTCACCTTGATAAGGCTAGTAATTTAATTATCATATTGTTAATCATAACTCTGAAATGGATGTATCCAGGAATTCGACTAACTTCAGATTAATTAGAGCTAAATTATTGGTTAGGCTAGGTAAGTGATGGTATAAAATTTCTTTTCCTTTAGTGGTTCACAACTGCAAGTCAGGATATTTTTGAGCTCTAAGCTTGGCTCGTAAGTCCTCATGAATCGAATGACTATCTCTCTTCGTGGAGCTAGATATATCCAACCCTCCATGTTCGGCGTAAGCCATAATGCAGCAAGGCCTGGGGCATTTCTCAATGCACGTTATATGTCTGTTACCGCTCGCATTACTCCACCTAAAGAACTAATTGGCTTGAGTTCGCTGAAAGACAACCCTGGCTCCAAATCCCAAGTATGAAACTTAATTCCAAGAATACATACTTACAGACAGATACTCATACACAGCCTTCCCCCAAGGCCAAACGCCTAGGTCGCGGTCCTGGTTCAGGCAAGGGCAAGACCTCCGGTCGTGGTCACAAAGGACAAAAATCTCGAGCTGGCAATGGGAAACCCACACCCGGCTTTGAGGGCGGGCAGACTCCAATTATGCAACGGTTTCCCAAACGTGGCTTCACCAATATGTAAGTTTGTCCTGGATACCTCAGGAAAGCAAATGCCCGCTAACTAGCTTTTATACCCAGCCATGGCAAGGACTACACTGAAGTCAACCTCGACCAACTCGGGCGTTGGATCGAAACCGGGCGCATTGATCCTGCACAGAAAATAACTATGCGTGAATTGAAGGTGGCCGGGCTAGTTAAAGGGGTTAAGGATGGAGTGAAATTGTTGGGCAATGTATGCATCGTGTTTGGTTATGAACCGCAGACTGGTTTCAATTAATGATGATTTGTTCGTAATAGGGCTCCAGCGGATTCAAACATAAGATAGACTTGGAGGTGTCTCGTGCGTCTCAGAAAGCTATGAAACAGATCGAACGCATGGGCGGTACGGTTACCTGCGTCTACTACAACTCCACCGGTCTCCAAAGCATACTCTCACCATCCCGATTCTTTGTCCAACCCAAACTCGCATTGCCTACCAAGAAGAGAGACATCGGTACGTACGCGCATCCCCCTTCACCCAGCCCTAGCTAATCGTCCATTTCATAGCTTGGTATTCGGATCCCAAGAATCGAGGCTTCTTGGCAACTGAAAGCAACTCTGCCTAGACAAATGCATATCCCACGATCCTTCATCTAGACACCTGGTGCCAAGAAATGTGAATATAACCCATTTTGGTGGATGGGTGGATGGTCAACACAAATAGGAAGGAACATTGGTTGTTTATTCCTCGTGAACGATCCTTGATTTCTATTAAAATTTTCACTAATAATTATTTACAACAAACATTCGGGTGATCATCGATCATTTGGGGAGCAGTGGGGTCCTCTCGGATTGCGACATGACGGGTATATCCTCCGGGTTTTTCTTGTGGTAAATGATAGGCAACAACGAGAGTGCCGCTGCAATGGTAATGGTCAAGATGGTGGTGATATTGAACAAAGATATCTCTTTTCCTGCCGATAGCTCTTGGATGGCGACACCGGCCTGCACATGTAAGAAGGAAATGGGAGCCACCCCAAAGAAGGTGGCCACGAAAAATGTGCCGATTGGTACATCCAGGTGGGGGGAGGCTATGTTGATGAACCAGTTTGGTAGAATGGGCGTGATGCGCAAGAACATCAGATAATTCAAGAGATGTTCACGTCTACGTGCGATCTGTGGTGTATGATTTAGCTCAAGGACTCAACAAGATAACGCCCATATGAAATTACCTGCTCACTCCAAGCAACCAAGCGCTCCGTCAGGTATCTCTCCACGAAGGGAGTGGCGATGTAGTAGGAAATCAAGTAGCAGATACTTGCCCCAACGGCAGAGCAAAGACAGATCAAGAACAGAGCGGGCCATTTGGTAAACAGGGCGCCACCAAGAACACTTAGCATAGCACTACCAGGAATAGCGAATGCTTGGAGGCTATATGATAAAGAGAGATAAGCAAAGGGTTTCGAGGGCGAGGGCTACCAACCAGTCTACTCACAATATGTAAAGAATGACATAAGAATATAGAACAGAGAAATAGTGGCCATCCATGAACTTGGACAAAGCCAACGCAAGGACCTTCACGTCACTCATATTCTTTGGGAATTTCAACTCGATCTCACTAGAAACAAATCACCATTCAGTCAAACTGCGTGTAAGTGAGCCTACAGAGAGGAACCAACAACTTACCCATTGAAGGTGGCGAACGTTAGGGTCAGCGAGTAATAGACTAACAAGCAGGAGAGTATAAAAGCGAACGCAAGCCCGAGAACATGGCTAGGGCGAAAAGTTGAGTTGGAAACAGTCATACCGAGTGGAGAGTAATTATATTATGTAAAAATAGAACAATTACAACGGGGTAGCAGCAAAATTATAATACACGAGGTAAAGAGAGTTAAAATTAAGATGAAAGAGTTAAGGAGTACAGCTGTCCAGGTTCGATTAAAAGGATGGCCGTGACTGCCGTGAAGGAAGGGAAATTTGATGCAACCTTCGCCCAACTTACAGGTTTTATAGATTTATGAAATACAGACCAACTACATGAAATCAAATCTTGCGTACGAAAAGTTCTGAATATAGCAGCACATGATCATGATCATGATTCTTCTGTAGTGGAAATATTAGCACCACTCCGGATAGCTATCCTCCCGATTCATCCGCCCGCACTCGCTCATTGGGCGTACCAAACGAGGGTTATTTACGGAGAATTCTCGAGAAGCAGCATATTATTCATGGTAAATGAAGTTTGCTAGTGGTTTACATAATCACTAACCCAATCAGTATCACCACAACGGCCTATTCTTTAGGCTACTGGATATCCGCTAGAGAGGTGATCACGAGCTGCGGACCATTAGTTCCCCCATCTGGTTGGAGCACGTTGTAATTTGTTTGAATGTTGTCCAAATAAAGTGGTTTCACTAATCTTGATTTAATCATTCCATGACCTCTTATCTACAGATTTTCCTGATTCTATTGTTGGTAGGTTACTGATGCCGAAGCTGATCACTGGTAGATTAAGATCAATCACACGAGCTGCCTAAAGCTACTTGGAGTATGTTTATGCCACTCCAGTAAAGATGATTATCTTTATGCAAAAAATGAGTCAAGGTATTTAACTTATGCTTGACTTTTCGTCTAAAACCATGTTCCTGTTGCAAGTTTCACGAGAGTTGGTACTGGAATGCATGCATGATTAGTCAACCGTAAACGTCATTACTCAAGGGAGCAATGACTAATAGGCTTTGATGATGTGGATGATTGTAGAACCTCGTTTTCGCATAAAAGGCCAACGCCTTCCTGTCTCCAATGCAAGTGCAGTCCTTGAAATGTCGACTCATCCACAGATGAAATATACCAAACTTGGCTCTACTGGGCTGAAGGTTTGCATTGAAGAGATGCGTTGCGAATAGGCCAGTTCTAACACGACATACTGAAATTCTATAGGTGTCAAGATTATGCCTTGGCTGCATGTCATTTGGTTCTTCAAAGTGGCAGCCATGGGTCATGGATGAAAAGGAGGGGAAGAGGATCGTAAAACGGGCTTGGGACCTTGGAATCAACTTCTTCGATACTGCAGGTAGGTAACCACAATGCTTCCCAATTGTTCGAAGCTGAGTCAAACTCTTCATTATAGATGTGTACTCCAACGGGGAAAGCGAGCGAGTTCTAGGGCTTGCTCTGAAGGAACACAACATTCCCCGAGATAATGTTGTGATCGCCACCAAATGCTACTTCCCAGTATCAGATGATGTTTCATTCAACACATTGGCTCAGGGACAAACCGATAAACGATTCCTTAATGGGCGAGGATTAAGTCGGAAGCACATATTTAATGCGGTGAAAAATAGCTTGAAGAGGCTTGGCGTTGACTATATTGATCTTTATCAAATTCATCGTTGGGATTATGAAACCCCCATCGAGGAAACAATGAAGGCTCTCAATGATCTGGTTGAACTTGGCCTTGTTCGGTATATCGGGGCAAGCTCTATGTACACCTGGCAGTTCCATAAAGCGAATGCCATTGCCGAACGTAATGGCTGGGTCAAGTTCATTTCTATGCAGAACTTCTATAATTTATTGTATCGCGAGGAGGAAAGAGAGATGATCCCTTACTGCCTTGATGAGAAGATCTCCTGCATTCCATGGTCTCCTCTCGCTCGTGGCCGACTGGCCAGGAAAAATCAGTCCACAACCCGTAGTGAGAGTGATCATGCACACAAACAGGCCTTTGAATCGGATGTCGACTCGCCAATTATTGAAAGGGTGATTGAAATTGCCGAAAAGAAGAGCATCTCACCGGCTAGAGTCGCTCTTGCTTGGGTGCTGACTAAAGATGTGGTAGCCGCGCCCATCATCGGGGCCGGCAAGGTGGAAAACCTGGAAGACCTGGTGGGTGCTCTTGACGTGGAGCTTACTGCAGAAGAAGTCACATATCTTGAAGAACTTTACAAACCCAAAGCCATTGCCGGACACACTTAGGGTTACTGTATATTCGAAGCCACCGCACCCTGAACAATAAAGCCTAAACCATTTGCTGTCAATACAAATCGAGGTTACACCAAACCCTATATGGTTATATCAAACCCGAGTATTTGCCTCGCAATATGCCACTGACACGTCTTGTCGGATGGATTGCGGGCGTAAAGTGTGGAGAGTGTATAGAAACAGCTGGCCTTAGTGGCTTACTCCTCGATCCAGCTGGTAGTGGCTAGGTGTAATGATCAGACTCAGACCAGCAGTGGCTAAATAACCAGTAGACTGAATACTGTGCAATCGCATGTCAAATTACCGTGGGAACCGGAAGCCTAGAGTATGTTGACCACCCAGATGTGGCCACCCAGAAGTTCTTAAGAAACATCCGGATATGCATCAACCAATGAAATAGATCGGTGTCAAGAAGTACGCTAGTAATAAG